TACCACAATCCAGCTAGCTTAAACAATAGAAATGCATGGGCTCACAGATCAAGGTGTGGCAGAGTTGGTTGCTTCTGAGGCTGTGGGGAAAGAATGAGCTCTAGGCCTCTCTCCTTAGCCTATAGATGGCTATTTTCACATTCCCAGTGTGTTCTCCCTGTGTGTATCTGTGTATCTGTCTCCAAATGTCCCCTCTTCATAAGGAAACTGGTCATATTGGATTAGGACCTACCCTAATAGTCTCTATAAAATTTCTCTCTAAATAAGGTCACATTTTAAGGTACTGGGGGTTAGGACTTAACCTATAAATTTTGGGAAAACACAATTCAACCCATAACAAAGCTCTTTGAAAAATCAGTAAAATATGGGCTATCTCCCTTTCTCCCTTTTTCTCAACATTTTTGTGACATTATGTTTTAGTTTTGTCATGTGAATGTGTTTGCATTTGTGTATATGTATATATATTGTATATATAGTTTTTAAAATCAGTTTGAGACTCTGGATTTTGTCTGATGAGCAAATAACATTTCTATTTAATATGATTTCAAATATATTTAAATTTGTTACTATTATATTAAATTTTCCATTAACCAAAATTTTAATTTCTTTGTTTTCTTACCTTCTTTTGAACTGATCATGTTTTTCTGAATGAAAATTATATATTTCTATTATTTCAGTCACTACACTTAAATTTTTGAGTTTGTGATTTCTCTATTGGCACAAGCCAAGTGTTTTCATTAATTTTGTAGCTTGGGATTTCTACACCTCAATGATCATGTAAATTTAAACTTCACATCTTCACATGGTCTTTAACAATGACCAAACTGGAATGTTCTCCAGAATCATGAGCATACATCCGTGTGGGTTCCAGACCTGTTCCTTCAGCTCTGACTCTAAATTCCTCTCTTCATAGTTACATCCAGTTTGATGTTTTTCCTTTATAAATTGTTTTTTTCTTTTTATTTAGGTTTCATTTGCTCTAGACTGAGCTTCCCATACCAACCACATAGTCCCTAGCCCTGCTAGTAAATTATATTGTTTCTTCCACATGCTTTTCCAGAAACAAGATTGCGTAATACTTTCTATTGTTTAGAGGATTTTAAGTCTCTAAAAATCCAAGTTTTCTTCTTTAAAAAAAAAGATTTTATTTATTTATTTGACAGAGAGAGAGAGCACAAGCATGAGCAGAGGGAGAAGGAGAAGCAGGCTCCCCGCTGAGTAGGGAGCCCCATTCAGGACTTGATCCCAGGACCCTGGAATCATGACCTGAGCTGAAGGTAGACATTTAACTGACTGAGGGACACCTGGGCGGCTCAGTCAGTTAAGCATCCAACATTTGATCTCAGCTCAGGTCTTAATCTCAGGGTTGTGAGTTCAAGCCCCCATGGGCTCTATTCTGGGTGTAGAGCCTACTTAAAAAAAATAAATGATCTTCATTTATTCCTAATGTTTTAGGATATATTAACATACATGGAATTAAGAATATTCTCCAGAAAGAAAAAAAGAACATTTTCCAGAGTCCATTGACCAAAATATGGATGATGGATAACTAGATAAATGATGAATAAACAATTAGATAGTACATACTCTTTCCAAAGATAAAAATGCAATTTAAAATTTTTTACACTGGATTATTCCCATACACACAAATTCCAAATGTGTACCAACATTTAGGTGCAAGATATAAGAAAAGATAACACTATTTTAATTTTATTTACACATAATACATATTATATATAGATGTCTATAATATTGTTGTGTATATAATAAATAAATAAATATATATATATATATATATATATATATATGAGCCAGAGCCTTAGAGTTGAACCATTTTTGTTAATAATTAAGTTTAAAGAAATTCTCCTCTCTTATTTCACAAAGTATGTTTAGAACACAAAATAAGCTTCATAATTTCAGGAAATATTATCTCTTCTGTCTGTCTAGTTTATGTTTGAGATGCAAATTTAAACATTGATTCATTTCTGATGCTTGAAACAAAAGCAAGGACTAAAAACATAGCATATGCACTTATATTTAAGGTACAGATTTTAGCACTACTTATATTTAGTACACCGTCCCTCATTTTGTATATTCATGAGGAATAAAAAAGTTTATATTGTTTTTTACAAACCCTACCATGCCAATAAATGTTGAGGACACTCACCTAAATATGGCTTTTAATAAAACACATCTTTCTTAAACTGGAATATAGGATTTCTGTGTGAGATATCCATGACCTTGATTTAACTTACTAATAAACTATATTTTATTTGCAAATGAAAATGCATTATACATGACATTGGGCAATGGGGTATTTGTAGTAATTACAGTTCAGTAAATCTATTTTAACATCATTTCACAATTAAACAAAAAAATCCTTACCAAAATTCCCAACAGATTTTCCTACCTCTGCCCCATAACATACAGATCTAGAAAATAAACAGGCCAACATAAAAACTCTGTCTTAAACATTGTTATTTGCCTTCTGTGAGCATTAAAGACTATTTGTCAGGTAAATGCCCTATTTTTAATCTCCAGTCTCAAATAAAAGCTGTCTATATCCCTTCAACTACATGTCATGTAGCTCTGTGTGCAGTGTGGCCACTTAGGTATAGGAGGTACAAAGTAGACATTAAAGAGCCCCTGAAAGAAAGGAGCTATTTTTCTACCTTTTCACATAATCATACATCCTGGTTAAAAATCTTTGCTTTTCTTTAGCAGACAAAATCAGGCAAAAAGTGAGCCCAAGAATGCTTTCATCTTCTTTGTGTATACCTCCTCATGGATACTTCTTTTGCCCCAGATCAGAAAAGTGTCACATGTAAAAAACATTAAATTTTACCTAAAACAAATTTCTTGGCAGAATATAATATATCAAATATTGTTAACAAATACATTTGGATTTTCAATGTTTTAAGGTTCTTTGGAATAGACAAAATCATTGAGGAAGAAACATCATCATATTTGTGTTGCATAGAAACTGTATAGAGGAATACACACACACACACAGACACACACATAGAAAACTGAAAATAACATTCACCTTTGGATGGCAGAAATGGAATACAAAGGTTTATATATCCTTGGGAAATACTTGAAATTTTTATTATGCACAATAATACTTTCAAAATGAAACATTTTTAAAAATACAGTCAAATAAATGAAATACAAATAAAATGAATAAAGCAAAAGGTAATCTGTATGATGATATTATAACCATATTTGTAAAGGTTACTGAATTTTCAAATTGTCAGTTGATAGACAAGTTTTTAAATCCCCATGTTCCATTTTAAATGATAATTTTATTCTGTTATTTTGATATTTGCTTATGTTCAACAAGCCAAACATACTGACCAGGTGGCATCCAAATTAACATGTGGTTATGGACAAAAAGTCATATGAGACATCATACAGGTCTTGCTTAAACTTTAATAAAATGATAAAATGACAAATGAACATGATGAGAAACCTAAACTATTACATGTATTATTGTCATTTGCAATATGTTTACTGTAGTTTCAGAGGAACTAATTATATTTCCATAATGTTTAGCTTCATTTCACTTTGTTGCGTTTTGAAAGGCCACCAAATGTCAAGCTTTTGCAACTTGTTAAAATTTGTCTTTCAAAATGAAATATAATTAGAAATTATTTTGGACTTAAAAATGCATCAAACATCAAACTTTTAGGACATATAGTTTTGTCCTTAAACTTTTTAGTAAAAAATTATTTTGTATCGTAGGAGGAAATCACCAATACGTTTTTAAAATAATGACCTGTATTATCAAACTCCGAAAACACCTTTCCTCACTCATAATATTAAAACCATGAAAATATTTTCACTACAATGAATACTGTATTTTACATAATACTTCTAAATATTGGGAGATTTTGTGCCTGGTGTTAAATGTTTATTTTGTAATTGGAAAACAGTAGAGTTATCACCCTGAGAGTCCCTCTGGGCAGGACACTACATGAAGTCTCCCCTCAAAAGTCCTAGAACAAAGAATTTCTTAAACAAATCTACAACAACTGCAACCAACCCCAAATACTGTGGCTGCACCATAGTTTAAAAGAATTTATTAAGTGAAACTCACCTAATTTACTAAATATTCCATTCTGAATATAGCTAACCTATTGTCTATTGGATTGTATTTTAAATGCTATAACAGAGTGCCAAAATTAGAAGAAACCTCATAGCAACAACTTTTGTTAAAGTCAAAAACATTTCCAATTTTTCTGATAGTAAACTAGCTTGTTCCTGAATTGTTCAGACTTGATAAATTTCAATTTCGACATCTCACTGGTGATAATAATGACAAGTGATGGAAAGGCAGAGATTGAGCAAGGCTCCTTTGAAGGATCTTCCCTTCATAGTGTTTGTATTTTCTAGCCAAATGTAAAAATGGCAAGCTCCTCCAAATACTTTCACTCACTTTTCCCTAATGTTCTAGAAGTTAGAGCCTACTGATGGTTAAGGTAAGTGCCTTTCCAGAAACATCTGGCCATTATCTAGGTTCTAGATGTGAGAGACGGAGTGAGGAAAGCAATATGTATTACATGTGCCAAAGTTATCACAGATCTTTCCAGATGTTTTCTCTGAGTGCAAAACCCATTCTCTCAAAATTCCTGGAGATCATATAATCTCTCTGAATTTTGAAATGAGAGATTTTCCACAATACTCAGATTTTTTAAAAATATTGCATGAAATTCTTTTTATTTCCCTGTACAGCATGTAAAACTGGTAGCTTACAATAAGAAATATTTCTCACAATAAAGTAATCCCTATCTTCTTTATAGACATTAATTTTGCATTACTTCAAGGTATGTTAGAAAATGAAAAGATGCAAGATCATCAGTATGTTGAAGGGTTAAATGAACTAATTTGTTTTAGATCAGTGATTTCTGTGCCAGGAGTGTGACCACAGGTTAAATAAAAGTGCCTGACTGCCTTTTCCTGAGAAATTCCCCATTCAGGGTTCAAGAGCAGTAAATTGCTTAGCGGTTCTCTGAGGAATCAGCTGGCATTCCTGTGTCTCTGCAAACTGGACAGCAGGTTCCTTTCACCAATTCAAGACTGAGACATGGAGCCGGAGGACAAGTCTCCACCATACAGGTGACCTGGCCACTCTGAAAGGCAACATTCAAAGATTATTCCCATTTTTCTTACAGTGGAATTATCTTTTTAAAAGTTTCTTATAATATGTAATCTGATTGGCTGACTATCTCAACATAATAAAAATTATCCATGGTATGAGCTAATTTATACATGTAGTTCCTATTAATGCTTTATTTCTACATTTGCATCATGAAAAAGCAAGGCTGGAAGTACTGGCCTATAAAATGTTACCTCCCAAACCGGAGGGCTTGAGGTGTGGAGAGAGGCAGGAGTGATTGCTATCAGCTCTGTCCAAAAAACAAACTAAATAAAGACTGAGCTTTTCTCTTTTGGTGGGTATCATGATAACATTTTTTTAATATTTACCAAATGCTTTCAGGCAACTTTTGTAGTGAGCCTGACTGGAGAATAAGGAGATGAATTCAAGCCCCATTTCTGCCTCTATTTGTGTAATCTTGGGCAAAGCTCAGTAAACATCCTGAGTGTCAGCTCTCCCAGTTATTAGTGAAAATATGAAAAACCCACGTGGTATTTGGCAAGTGTTCATGAGATAGTGGCATATTTATATCTATAATCAGAAACCTCAAAATCTCACATCAATATCTTGACCTTAAAAATATGCCTAGAATCTATTCACAAAAAAAGAACATTTTTCTCTCTTGAATTTTTCAGGTTTGTCTCAACTGGCAAGCTAGCAGAAGTAAAACAGGAGGAAGATGGAAAAACTTCTAGCAACACATACCTTACACATACAGCTAATGCAGTCTTCTTTCATCCAGTGTTCATTGTCTTTTCTTCGAATCCCTTTATCATCTGTGCATCCCGCCTGCCTGAGGCGTGCCTCCAGCTTGTTTATCTAAAAAAGGAGATGAAGGAAAGGAATGTGGGAATTGAAATAGTACCAACAAAGCAGATAACTAACACAGTTTGATGAAATGCTCTATTCTGTAAGCAAACACCTAGAGGGCAAAAGAAACTTCAAAGCCAACATAATTTTTAACTTTTTTTTACCCAAAACTTAATGAATCCAAGTCATCCAGTGTCTAAGCTAATAAATAGTTCCCTATATGTGACAAAATATTGAATATGGATCTACTATCTGAAACAGGTAAGTTTTATTTTTTTTTATTTTTTTTTTAAGATTTTATTTTATTTATTTATTTGAGAGAGAGAATGAGATAGAGAGAGAGCATGAGAGGGGAAAGGGTCAGAGGGAGAAGCAGACTTCCCGCCGAGCAGGGAGCCCGATGTGGGACTCGATCCCGGGACTCCAGGATCATGACCTGAGCCGAAGGCAGTCGCCCAACCAACTGAGCCACCCAGGCGCCCTGAAACAGGTAAGTTTTAAAAGAATGGAATTAAAATCAAATGAGTAGAGTTACATATTTTTAAAAATCTTAAGAAATATTAACATTAATTCAACAAATCTATATTTTACTTAATCTTTGTACTTAGGTTTTTATAAACAGCATTCCCTAAACAAATGTTTATTAGACTTCAAAGATAAAGCAAACAATCCAAGGTCTCAAGGAGCTTAAGACTTAGTGGAATGACAGATCAATAAATCACAGTGTTAAGCCAATTAGATAATGACGGTATATCAGAAGCAAAAGAAGAGCAGAAGACAAGTTTCTCTTGGTTCTGCCTCAGGAAGTAAGGGAGGCCTCACATGGGAAAAAGCATTTGAACTGTAAGTGCACATAACAAAATCATTCAGAAAAACAATCAGGGAAAAAGGCATTTCAGACAAAAGGGGAAAAGTTTGGCCAAAGCATGGGCACCACAAACAGGTCAGTATCTCAGGAACATAAACTGCTGTGGAGGGTAAAAGGCACAGGGGCAGTGTTGGTGGGAATCAAGGCAGCAAAGAAAATTAGGGACTTAACAGTCCTATAAATTCATTTAGATATTATAGTCTCTAGACAACGGGGAAAAATTGCAGTGATCACATAATGGCGATATGAAGACAGACTAGTGAAAACAAAGAAACTTCAAGAAGATCCACATGGGCTCAGCTGAGAAAGGAAGAAGTGAGAGTCAGGAAGAGCCATTGAGCAGGTAGAGGTGTTTGGTTGGATTGAGGGTAGGGGAGAAAGAAGAACCAAGATGACTGCAAAGTTCCACGTTTCATAAGGTGCATGAATGATGGTGATGTTCAGTAAGATATATTCTAGAGAATGCATTACAAAAGAGTAATGATCCATAGAGAAATTAAAGATACTGAATTGAGAGGAATTTTAGAAAGGATGAAAAAATGCAGTTTTACAAAAGAAAAGGCTAAGTCCAAGAGCACTGAATGACTTATGAAAGTTGCAGCTGCAATGCTATGGGCTGAACCATATCCCCTGAAAATCATATGTTGAGGCTCCAACCCCCAATACCTCAGAATATGACTGTGTTTGGAGATAAAGCCCTTAAAGAAGTAATTAACTTAAATCCAGTGCGATTGTGTCTTTATGAGAAGTGATTAGAGTCCAGACACAGTGGGAAGTCTGTGTGAAGACACAAACCAAGGAGAGAGACCTCAGGAGAAACCAACCCTGTCAACACCTTGATCCAGGAATCCCAGCTTCCAGAACTATGAGAAATTAATTTCTGTTGTAAAACCACCTAGCCTGTGGTATTTGTTATAGCTATGCTAGCAAATGAATACATGCATCATTAGGGCTAGATCCCATATTTTCAAAAGAAATTTCTAATGTATATCTAAAAATCATTATGCTTTTATCCTCTAGTGAATGTTCCTTTCAGATTCTCTGAACTCTGTTATTTGGTTGGAAATAATAAAACAATTTCAAACACTTGACCATGATTACTTGTATGTGACAGAAATTACTGTGCCCAAGAAAAATTTGGAGACATACAATAGACCAGACTGGATGCCTTAAAGACCATAAAAGCAATGATTTATTTTTAAATGGTTACTGAGCACCTGCTATTTGTCACCTAGTCCTAGGGGAGACTACAGTGATAAATACTCCTGGGTTTCTATTCTTAAGGGGTCTGCAATGTGGTAGGGAAGAGTGAATTTCTGCAAAAAATAAATATGATACAAGTCCAGATGTTGTGTGCTAAAAGAGTATATACACAATGAGATGGGATTTCAAGGAAAAATGGTTATTTTTATTTTTTTATTATGTTATGTTAATCAACATACATTACATCATTAGTTTTTGATGTAGTGTTCCATGATTCATTGTTTGCGTGTAACACCCAGTGCTCCATTCAGTACGTGCCCTCTTTAACATGGATTATTTTTAGAAAAATGGAGCAGGAAATGGAGTAATCAGGGAAGAATTTACAATTTAAATGGTACTTGTGCTAGGCCTTGAATAAAGATAGCATTTGGTCATGGTAGTATTTGTAGTATATTTCAGCTGGAGGGAAAGTATGTGAAGGAAGTATATGAGGAGAGAGTGAACAATAAGTATGTAAGTTTGGCTAAAACAAGGGGCGCCTGGGTGGCTTAGTCAGGTAAGCGTCTGCCTTCAGCTTACATCATGATCCCAGGGTCCTGGGATTGAGCCTCACATTGGGCTCCCGGCTCAGCGGGGAGCCTGCTTCTCCCTCTCCAGCTCCCCCTGCTTGTGCTTTCTCTCTCTGTGACAAATAAAATCTTAAAAAAAAAAGAACATGAAACATGTGAAAAAGGTTATTTAGAAATTAGATAAAAAGATGGGTTAGATAAGATAGGAATAAATCTAACCAAAGAGGAAAAGGATCTGTACTCAGAAAACTATAGAATACTCATGAAAGAAATTGAGGAAGACACAAAGAAATAGAAAATGTTCCATGAAAGAAATTGAGGAAGACACAAAGAAATGGAAAAAGGTTCCATGCTCATGGATTGGAAGAACAAATATTGTGAAGATGTCAATGCTACCTAGAGCAATTTACACATTTAATGCAATCCTTATCAAAATACCATCAACTTTTTTCAAAGAAATGGAACAATAATCCTAAAATTTGCATGGAACCAGAAAAGACCATGAATAGCCAGAGGAATGTTGAAAAAGAAAGCAAAGCTGGTGGCATCACAATTCTGGACTTCAAGCTCTACTACAAAGCTGTAATCATCAAGACAGTATGGTACTGGCACAAAATCAGATACTAGATCAATGGAACAGAATAGAGAGCCCAGAAATGGACCCTCAACTCTATGGTTAACTAATCTTTGACAAAGAGGAAAGAATGTCCAATGGAAAAAAGACAGTCTCTTCAAAAAATGATGTTGGGAAAATTGGACAGCCATATACAGAATGAAACTGGAAAATTTCCTTACACCACACACAAAAATAGACTCAAAATGGATGAAAGACCTCAGTGTGATACAGGAGTCCATCAACATCCTAAAGGAGAACACAGGCAGCAACCTCTTCGACCTCAGCTGCAGCAACTTCTTCCTAGAAACATCCGCCAAAGGCAAGGGAAGCAAGGGCCAAAATGAATTATTGGGACTTCATCAAGATAAAAAGCTTTTGCACAGCAAAGGAAACAGTCAACAAAACCAAAAGACAACTGACAGAATGAAGATATTTGCAAATGGCATATCAGATAAAGGGCTAGTACCCAAAATCTATAAAAAAAACTTATCAAACTCAACACCCAAAGAACAAATAATCCAATCAAGAAATGGGCAGAAGACATGAACAGACATTTCTGCAAAGAAGACATCCAAATGTCCAACAGACATATGAAAAAGTGCTCCACATCACTTGACATCAGGGAAATCCAAATCAAAACCACAATGAGATTCTACCTCACACCAGTCAGAATGTCTAAAATTAACAAGTCAGGAAATGACAGATGTTGGCAAGGATGCAGAGAAAGGGGAACCCTCCTATGCTGTTGGTGGGAATGCAAGCTGGTGTAGCCACTCTGGAAAACAATATGGAGGTTCCTCAAAAAGTTGAAAATAGAGCTACCCTACAACCCGGCAATTGCACTACTGGGTATTTACCCCAAAGATAAAATTGTAGTGATCCGAAGGGGCACATATGCCCGAATGTTTATAGCAGCAATGTCCACAATAGCCAAACTACGGAAAGAGCCTAGATGTCCATCAACGGATGAAGGGATAAAGAAGATGTGGTATATATATACAATGGAATATTATGCAGCCATCAAAAATGAAATCTTGCCATTTGCAATGACGTGGATGGAAATAGAGGGTATTATGCTAAGCAAATAAGTCAGTCAGAGAAAGACAAGTATCATATGATCTCACTGATATGAGGAATTTGAGAAACAAGACAGAGGATCATAGGGGAAAGGAGGGAAAAATGAAACAAGATGAAACCAGAAAGGGAGACAAACCATAAAAGACTCTTAATCTCAGGAAACAAACTGAGGGTTGCTGGAGGAGAGGGGGTAGGAGGGATGGGGTGTCTGGGTGATGGACACTGGGGAAGGTATATACTATGGTGAGAGCTGTGAATTCTGTAAGACTGATGAATCACAGACCTGTACCCCTGAAACAAATAATACATTATATATTAATAAAAAACTTAAAAAAATTAAATTAAATTAAATTAAAGCCTTAAAAAAAAAAAAAAGATGGGTTAGGACTACATTTTCCAGAGCCAAGAATACCCATGAACTTGGAATTCATTAAGGATACAATGTCTTGGTGTAAAAATAAATAAATAATAAATAAACAAACAAACAAATAAATAAATAAATAAATAAATGAATGAATGAAAATTGTGTAAAATGTTTTTTCTACATTTGTGTTGAAGTAAGACAGTAAGATGGGCCTTTGGGGTAATTTAGTATTACAATGCCTACTTGGGATGTGAACCATTGTTCCTTAATTTATTCATTACCCAATAGGATTCTTAAATATCCAATATATGC